AGCCCAATTTACGAGTTTTTATTTTATTTAATTCTCCACTTCTGAACTTGGATTGAACGAGACACACCACTAGAGGCTGCTATCATTGTTTATACAAAAATGTAATTATTTTTCAAATTTTTTTATTTTACAATAAATTAAGAAACATTTTTTTTGTTCCAATGGTTTAATAAAGGTTTAACTTGTGAATTTTGGGATCGTTTATGACCTAGCGATGTCGCAAGGTTATGGTTCTATATGAATTTAAGATTATACATTTTGTGATATCGTCGAGAATTATATGGATTATGGAGTTAAGAGCGTAGGCCAAAGAAGCATGAATTGTGGAACAAACGAATGGTCATGATGATATGAATATGTCACTTTGTTAAAAAAATTTGATGCTCGAGATATAACAATTCTACATAATTGGTTGAAAAATCTAGAATATTAGGTTTAGGTAGATGAAGAGAGGTTGATTCTGATTCGAATTAAGGGGTAATTTATTACTTATGATGTAAGTTAAAGATGAAAAAACATTTAAAAAATAAAATAAAATGGGCCTGTCCTATTGTTGTAGAGAGTAAGTAAACCATAAGCTTAAGGAAAAAGGATCCAACTGCCTTAAAAGCTGCTTAGATGCGTGCAATTTATAAGACAGCATAAAAAACTTCTCTTATATTAATACAGATTACATGATCTATATCAGGTTTATTATGTGAAATAGTGAAATGTTTATAAATATTACATGATCAGATTTGAATTTCATGTTATTTAACAATATTTGTTACGTTTGCATTAACAAATCAAGTGCATTTAGGTTCACCATGAATAAAAACAAACCTACGTTTCATGAGCATATATATGACAAGAGAAAAGAGTCGATGGTCAAAATAAGTGTTTGTATATACACTTTTTTTTTTTAAAACAATGTTTGTATATAAACTTTGGAGTTCAAAAGCCCCGTTTGTTGATCTAACTATTGGATTTCGAGAGATTTGGGTCTTGTGTCCGGAAGTTATATGTACATTTCTAGTAGCTTTAAAGAACATTAATGTAAAAAAAATTTGCGCATGAGAAATATATTTCTATCAAGATGTTATTTAAGAAACATATGTACAAGCTCGTAAGTT